ATCTAATACATTGGCGGCACTATCTACTTCATTTTCCTTATTAAGAGTAAGAGAGTCTGGATATATCAACTTAAAATATTCCTCTAAGTAACCATCAGAGTTAAGGGTAGTAATATCATCTATAAGTCTAAATGTATTATTTAACTTCTTTACAATATAGTATCTACTTTTATACGTACTGTCTAGGAAACTGTTCTCAAAATACCAAAGTGTTAAGTTAGCAATATATGGACCAGGGTTGATTCCAAAAGGTACACCGATATGTTGCCGATATAAGATCTCTCCTACTTTAAAGTAACAATTATCCAGTAGAAACTCAACACATTTAATCAACTTAACTTCATCAAAAGCCACAGTCCCATCTCTAAAGCTATTAACCCAAGCAGACCCTTTATCGTAAACAGCTATAAACTTCTTTTCACTATTCCTAAAGGCTAATTTAACAGTAAACTTGAGAGCATCCTTGATATCTTTATGGGCTAAATTCGTGTGTAAAGTAGAAAAATCAAAAGTTTGGATGTTTCTCGCTAAGCTATTATCATTAATTTTATCTAAAGCTTCTAAAATCGGTTTATTATTCAAAATGACCCAATTCCTATTAACTCCTGTTACTTTAAACAACATGTTAGTATATCTGCAGATCTCTGAATAAACAGCCTTTAAGGCTAAAGAAATCTTTACTGCCAAGGGCTTAATACTACAATTAGCATAAGAAATAACATACCTAAGGCTAAACTTTAAAATTGGCTTATGAAATTTAGGACTCGAAAACATGTGAGGTAAAATATCAATATTAGAATCTATTTTTATCCCAACGTCTTCTATGAACTTGAAAATATCTCTGTTAATATCACGAACTTCATGCTCCCCACTAACATCATCAATACCCTCATTAGATTGACACTCTTGTATAATATCACTTAAATAATAATGTTTACAAATAATAGCGACGTTCTTAGTTGCTTTGTCCACCGGACATAAAACAAAATACTTTCTGATAAACGCTAATACTTCACAAGCTTTATCATTACTAAACACAGATTTCCGTTTAAGCTGTTTAGGATATTTCATTTTAAGAGCTTCAGTATTCTTCTTAACAATATCACTAAATTCATTAAACCAACCATTTAAACATGCACTATCGATTTTCTCTTTCCTACTCCAAGGTTTTAAGATTTCTTTAACATTATCTATTACCGAATTACAATTCTTATCAAAATCAATCGTTTTAGGTTCTTTATAAGAAGGACCTTTCTCTAACAGACTTCTCAAGGCGTCGTGCTTTACAAAATTAACATCCCCAGTCACAACATGACCACAATCCTGATTTACGAAATCAGTAAACATATGACATTTGCATTCTAAAGGTTCAGTGTCTCCCTTAACAACGTTATTATAATCAAATAACTTCTTAGAAACATTATCAGTACCTTTATATACAACAGTAGGTTCTTTAATGTTACAAAAATTAACAAACGATTTCAAACTAGGAGATCTAAAAACTCTAGGTAAATTTAACATTTCAATACCCTTGTTCACAAAATCAATAGAACATAAAACTTTAGGCTTACGGACGCTCTTACTTTTATCAGTTCTCGAGTTATGTTCAATTGAAATTAGAAGGGTAAGACTGGATCTAGAGGAGTAATTTTAGGGCCTACGAAATAACTTCTATCGGTATTTTGTCGAGTTGAACAACTTGCACCCTTTGAACATCCTCGATTTGCTTGAATCTCAAACATGTTGAGCTGAGTGAGTTTGGTGCTTCTTCACAAGTCGCAAACTCCTGAAGGAACTTGCCGACATTGTAGAGACCTGAGATCTCGACTAAAATTGATTTTCCACTGTTTATATTAAAGGAGCACACATTTAGAACTCCTTCCATACTCCTTCAGGACTATATTGACGATAATTTTACGTGTTAATGATTGCTGAAAAATATGGGCGTGGCCCAGGTCAATATTTCCAGACACCGTAGAGTCACACATTTTTGTTGGTTGTTCCTGACCCCATACAGCAACAAATTAGATACGATCCCTAATTATTTTAGCAACTAATGGTAATGTTTTTTTTTGTTGGGGACTGGCCCGTGGTACCAGCCAATGTTTACTCAACAAAAAAAAAATATCAATGGTAATAAGAAATTCATCCCCCTGGGGCACATGCATAAATATAAAATGGGTCATACATCAGTATTCCGACGGCAGTACGGCGGCAGTACGGCGGCAGTACGGCGGCAGTACGGCGGCAGCACGGCGGCAGTACGGCGGCAGTACGGCGGCAGCACGGCGGCAGTACGGCGGCAGCACGGCGGCAGTACGGCGGCAGCACGGCGGCAGTATAGTGACAACACTTATATCAGACTTTTGATCCAATTATTTCATGAGTTTGATGATTAGTTCACATTGATTTGTCAATTAAAGAGACGATTTTGATGATTTGTCAATTAATATATTTGGATAAATCAATATTAGTTGTAAATAAGTTCATACAATATCATTATATAACTTTAAATCAGTAACTGTCATCCTGGAGCAATAAAATAATTTACATTTAGAGAATCTTTCCAGCAGCAATTGCGAGTCGTTTCTTCTCCAGAAAGTCACTCTGCTTGAGGATAGCCCCACATCGGTTAGAGAGAATCTGCTGGTTGATCCTTTCAGTCCGCTCCTCCTTGAGAATCTGTTTGATGAGACTGCCGAATCGTGGTCTATCAAGGATAATCAGCTCTGCTATCTTATTCTTGGTGTAGAAGGATCTTTCAGGGATTCGTTTCTGTTTCAGGAACTTTGAGAGGCTGATGGAGGTATCAGGACGGTTGGCAAAGTCTCTGTGCACTCTGTTGTAGGAGGATAAGGCTTCGCCAGCTACAGAGGAGTGGGAGTAGGTTTCATCAGTGTTCAGACGGCGTCTACTAGGTGGTGGTGAGGAACTGGAAGAGGGTCGGGTAGGTGTAACCACAGGTCTTACTAGGCGAGCATTATCAGTATCTGGTGGAGTAGCTCCTCCTCTTCTGTTCGAACAGGAGGGGCACCGTCTTTTTGTCGGCAGGATCTTCATATCCAGTAGATATTGACAGCAGTTCTCTTCTGTTGAGAATATCCCAGTCGCTAAAAGTTCGAGATACAAAAGATACCAGAAGTACCTGCAATGAATCTGAATTATTTTAATATTTTATTGCTCCAGGGTGACAGTTACTGATTTAAAGTTATAATGATATTGTATAAACTTATTTACAACTTATTGATTTCTCAAAATATGTTTTTAATTGACAAATCAATTTGAACTAATCATCAAACTCATGAAATAATTGGATCAAAAGTCTGATATAAGTGTTGTCACTATACTGCCGTGGCACTGCCGTGGCACTGCCGCGGGACTGCCGCCGTACTGCCGCCGTACTGCCGCCGTACTGCCGCCGTGCTACCGCCGTACTGCCGCCGTGCTGCCGCCGTGCTGCCGCCGTACTGCCGCCGTACTGCCGCCGTACTGCCGTCGGAATACTGATGTATGACCATAAAATGTAAAGGAAATCTCAAACTATTCAATTTAGACTCTACCGGTAAAGTATGCAATGAAGGTTTATAACTTAAAGTTTTATTTTCCAATGGTTAATAGGTAAAGATAAGAAAAGTAAAACAAGACTGAGCACTTCAAAATTTGTAGAATTTGTAACTTGATTTGAAATCGCGGCGATAAAAAAGAATGTCCTATGTTGGCAGTGTAATTGATGAGATATGCGACGTTTATTGAGTGATGCATAAGTGTGTGCATATAATCTAAGATGTAGAGACAAGGTTATTATCGGCATTTTGGTTTATGTTACGCTTTGATTTTCTTAGTCCTGTTATACAATATAACATGAAATTAGGCCAATCGTCTTCGATGTTTTCATTTTGCTGATCGACGAGCATAGTTTTTATACAAGTTTTGTAAATGTTCAGGTTAAATAGACTAGGCGGGGAAGTTGCTGCAACATTATATCGGTTTATTGCTAATAATGGACCTTTAAAAAATACTGAGTTGTTGTAAGGGTGTTGACCATACTTATCTGACCATTGTGTAGTGAGAATAGAATCCAGGTTAGTATTAAATAATGGTGCGCTTTTGGGAATTGTTTTCTTGAGAGACAATGGTACTAGATTAGGAAAGTTTTTCAATTTATGCATTAAAATGAGTGCGTTCTTTACAATGATACTGTGTACTGTCAATATTTTATGTGAATAAAAGCCAGACTTGGTACTTGCTGGGGGGATGCCGTCCTTGTACCAGTAATTGACGAAACCAGGTAATACTGCTCGAAGGCCCATTTTCTGTTTTACAAAAAGCGATTCAATATGAGACTTGGCAGCAAAACCCCATACAAGGCTGCAATAATTAAGGTGTGACTGCACAAAACTTTGATAAATTTGAAGACGTGCTTCGAGAAGGCAGATATTTTTTAAGTTTGTACATGACTCCTATGTATCTGGACATTTTCATTTTCATGGCAGAAATATGATGGGACCAGTTTAGTTTATCATCTATTATAACTCCTAAAAAACGGGCTTCTGTTTTTCTCTCAATTGTGACACCAGAAATTGCCACATCACGATAATTAAGATTTCTTTGTCGAGAGAAGATCATATAATTTGTTTTCTTAAGGTTGAGAGCTAAACCATTATTATCTACCCATTTAACTAAAGCATCGCTAAGAGTTATTAGTTTATCGTAAACTTCATTAAGATGTTCTCCTATCAGGAAGATGTTGGCATCATCTGTGAATCGCCCTAGGGAGAGGTCTAAAGTGGCCCTAATTTAGCTTAGTTTATATTTAAACGATCTGTTACTGTGACCAACTTTCGACAAATAATGGCTGCAATTTGGTTAATGTTGGTTTGACGACCCTATAATGATGCTAGTTTCAATGGGCCTTAATATCACCATGGTTATTGACATTTAAATTAAGGCGAATCAGAAGTCAAAATTATGTGGATACTAAATAGAAAATTTTGTTCAAGGTGGTACAGTTGGAAAAAAACCCGTGACGATAAAAGGTGAACAGCAGTTAACCTCTTCTGGCCCTTCTCCGGGATCAGGTCAGCAAATGTCAGGGTTATAATCAGTGGTCGACCGGGGGCAGGATTCTGACCGGGGCCGGGGAGCCCCAATATAGCCGGGGCCGGGAAATCTTCCATTTTTCCGGGGCCGGCGCAGGGGCCGGGGGTAGTTTACCAAACTGTAGTCAGAAATTGAAACATGAATTTGATAATAATTTAGGCTGGTGTGATGCAATCGGGAAGGATTAAACTCGAGGTGCGGCTTATTCTCACCGACTTGAGGATTAAACCACAACTTCGTGCTGTGAACCAACTCGGGATAATCCTCAGGTCATACATAATTTCTAATCCTCAACTCGGAACTGAGGATAACCCTCAGCTGCTACAGTGCTATTTAATCTGGACCATGGTAAAATTTTGTTACTGGATAGTAGCAAAATGTTTACTTTTTACCATGGTTTTAATGTTAGGCTTTGTACTTTGTAGTTTACGTTGAGCCGTTATAGTTTTAGCTGCAGTGGAGTAGTTTTACTTTCTAGTTTCTACGTACGAGATGTTTTATCGCAAATTTCTTTATCGGGGACGATTAATTGAAAAGTCCGATACTGAGGAAGAACCACGGTTTTTATGTTACTAGCCGTAGTCTAATTTAAGCCAATTGTTTCAACTTTGAAATCTCATAATTACCATTAAATTGTGTTTGATTTTTTAAATTAATTAAATGTGCCAAAATCATTCATGAAATCCCCGGCTGTGCCCCCGGTATATGTATGGTTTTTGGCCGGGGCCGGGAGTAAATTTATTGACCGGGGACGGGGCCGAGGTTTACCCCCGACGAATTGCCAAATAATTTTGGCCGGGGCCGGGAAGGGCCGGGGTTGCGATTTTGGCTGGGGCCCCGGCAGGGGCCAGGGCCCCGGTCGACCACTAGTTATAATCTACTTGACATAGATACTTGTAACAACATGGTCCATAATTTTTGTTTACGTCATGCTGGTGACAGTATGAGTAAAGGACCAGCAATAACGAGGGAGGAGTCTAAAGTGGCCCTTATTTAGCTTAGTATATCCACCAGCGTGCGCTTTTTCGCATAGCGGGCTCTCACCAGCCCGCTGTCAAAGGGCCCGATATCTCTACAGCCCGCTCATGATATAGCCCGCTAACAAGTGACATTTAATTTGACCATTAGCAATATAGCCCGGAGTTCTCTAAAATATTTTCAGTTTCTGTATCGTCTCCATGTGAAATTCCATAAGACAACAACTGACAAGTTTCTCAGAACTATAGTTGAAACCGGTTTAATTCATTAACGATGAATTCAATTGCAATAATCGTACAGTGAGCTAATTAGTGTAGTTTCTGTTTCTAAATTCCCACGGCAATATGCAGTGGATGTAAAGAATGTATCAACTGTAAACTCTGAGCTCACCCTCTATCGGACGCTATATCAGTTGTCACGCAGTTTGCCATGATTGGCTCATAATTAACACGTGACACTGACAAACTGTTACTATGATTACCAAATTCGTGGAGACGTTCAGACTTAATTCTAAGCCGGTGATCTCTATTATAGTATCGATAATTGTTTTGTGTTTACCATTTCAGTTGTGTTTACCATTTTCATTTCACTAGTTCAGTCGATAAATCTTGAAATGTAGGCCGAAATTTTACGTGTTATTCTATTGTGTTCCCGAAAGATATTTTGCCCTGTTTTTGTTTTGAAACTGCCATTTAAATTGATTTTATGAATTTGATCTTTAACTTTCATATTAAATGTCCATGATCAGACTGTGATCTCGAGCTCTCTGGGTTTACTACTTTTAAGTGTCCAGCCACTCAGTAGCTGCTACAGAAACTGTAGTAACTGGTTACCCGGGTAACACTGGTTACCCAGGTAACTGACATGATAATGACAACTAACTTGGTAGTAGAGGGCTCTGTGGCGACTGGTGGTGCTTGTTCTGGTTCCAGGGAGGGAGAGGGGAGAGAGGTAGAGAAGTATAGAGGAAGAGTAGGAGAGAAAGAGAGGGAGAGGAGGAGAGAGGGAGATAAAGAGAGAGGGATAGAGGGAGAGAGGGACGTAAGGAGAGTGGGAGAAGGAGAAAAGAAGATAGGGAGAGAGTGAGAGAGGGATAAAGGGATAGAGGGAGAGAGGGAGAGAAGGAGAGAGGGAGAGGGCCTATATTTTGATCGTTTACATTAAAATATGTACCTGAAACAATGAGCTGAAACATTGTTTGATAGCAGCCGGTTTTTCGTTCTATAGTCAGTCATTTTGGCCTGTTTTACATCTTAAACCAAAAGCAACATGATTTTTTCGTAACTTTTCTGAAATCTTGTACATTAATTTGCTGTGATTGTTGCAAACTGAAGCTTCGTGATAAACGCCCGCTGGTGGATATACGCGATATCATTCCTCGCCTCGAGGGCGGAACTATCGTATTAGAAACTTGTCATACGTTGTATGACCCGCCGCGCACGAGTGCGACCGTGGGGGTCACCACGTGATACAATTAGAAACATGTTGAAAGTAAAAGTGAAACTAAATTAAAAACGGATCTCTTGAAGAAACTAAAGTAAAAACTAATATCTGTAAGAAAAAGCTCACGCTGGTGGATATAATCCACATCACCTCGACCCGCTGGCGGAAAAATCGTATAGCACTCGGGCCCGATGGGCCCTCCGTGCAATACGAAAATATGTCCTCCTCGGGCTAGCGCCCTCGGGGACATATGAAATATTGCACGCGCGTGCGCACGCGTGCAATATTTTGTTCAGCCCGCAACTTGTCATACGTTGTATGACCCACCGCGCACGAGTGCGCGGCTCCCCCTGTATCGTCGAAACTCTAGTGAAGCGACCGTATGTGTCACCACGTGAGTCTTCGGTGATATGTATATTATATATCGCCGCGAGGGCAGTGGCGTAACGTTGCCTGTTGGCGCCCCCCTGCCGAAAAAAGCGCCCCCCTGTTGGCACCCCCTCCCCTTTTGGTGCCCCTCCCTAAAATTGAACAAATTAGGTGATTTTAGAGAATACGCCGGTAAAATCTCTAAATAAGTGTGTATCTAGAGCAAAACGCGCAGTTTTGCTAGTACTTTGGTTAAGTTTTCGAAATTGTCCCACATTCAAACGACGATTTGGCGCCCCCCTAAGACGGCGCCCCCCTGCACAGCGGGGTCAGCAGGGCCTTTCGTTACGCCACTGCGCGAGGGTGCGGGCGATATAAATATCCGCCCGCTAGGCTGCGTGGATATATATATTTATATTTGAACGATCTCTTACTGTAAATGTAATCAACTTTTGACAAATTATAGTGGCTACAATTTGGTTAAAATTGTTTGTCAACCCTTTAGTGATGCTAGTTTTAATGAGCCCTAATATCACTGGTTCACAGATCGAACTAAACCATACATACAAAACGAAGAAATGTTAATTTGTAGCAACACTCATCAAGGCGTATTTATTGACATTTAAATTAAGGCGAATCAGATTTCACAATTATATGGCTTCTAAATACAAATGTCGTTCCAGGTAGTACAGCTGAAAGAAAACACGGAATGGTTCGAAGAGAACAGCAGGTAACCTCTTCTGGCCCTTCTAGTTCAACAGAATCAGGTAAGAAGTGGTGAGCGTTATAATCTACTGAACATAAATACTTGCAACAATTAGATCTCTTACTGTCACCAACATTAGACCAATATTGGCTACATTTGGTTAAAGGTTTTTGTCAATGCTTGTATTGATGCTAGTTTTAATGGGCCCTAATATCACTGGTTCACAGATCGAACTAAAACATACATGTAAAACGAAGATATGTAACATTTTAGCAACACTTATCAATGCGTATTTATTGACATTTAAATTATAAAGGCCGCGAATCAAAACTCACAATTATATGGATACTAAATAAAAATTTCGTTCAAGGTGGTACAGTTGGAAAAGAACCCGTGACGATAAAAAGTGAACAGCAGTTAACCTCTTCTGGCCCTTCTTCGGGATCAGGTTAGAAAATGTCAGCGTTATAATCTACTTAACATAGATATTTGTAACAACATGGTCCATAATTAGTATTAGATCATATTAATGTCGCCAAATTAAATGTCAACAACAACAAGTCCAATATAAAAATGTTTCCCATGTTGGTTTACGTCATGCTGGTGACAGCAGTGATGCACGCCGGTTCATTTTTCGCCAACCGGCGGCGGCGTGCCCAAAATGGCCCGGCGTGGCGGCGTTCGGCGGCGTAGAACATAATTTTGTCAAAATTTAGGTTTGAATTTCCAGGCCCACAAAAATTGTAACGAAGTGGCCTCATAGCAGCGAGTAGCCCCATAATGCTACCATCAGAAAACTCTAATTTGTACTTTCAATTTCATGAGTATAATGACTTTAAGTGTTACAATACCTGGAATCAATGTTATTGTAATGTGACCTAATCACTGTTATTGTAATATTACCTAATTTTGTTAATTCCTGTTAATTCCTAATTCCTGTTATGTTTCAATAAATAGGAATGTTCATATTAAACGGCTAAAACAAGAAAAAAGTCTTGATCCTTTTGTTAAAAGAAACATTATTCAATTTACTCAGTTACATTCAGGGATGACTTCACATTGTCCCAATTATATTTAAGAAAAATCAAATTCTTAACATTGTCGTTGGACAATCATGCAATTTGGATCTCCTAGAGTTCAAAATCAACCCCGACTGGCTCCATACTCTTTCTAATTCAGAACTAGTAGCTGCTTTGAAATTTTTTTAAATTTTCACGCCACGCCGACTTGAGAGGTATCGGCGTGGCGGCGTGTGAAAATGTGCCGGCGCGGCGGCGTCCGGCGGCGGCGTGCATCACTGGGTGACAGTATGAGTAAAGGGCCAGCAATAACGGGGAGGAGTCTAAAGAGGCCCTTATTTAGCTTACCTTACTCGGGATTATTATGACCAGGATAAAGTGGTGGGTTTAGGGTAATTTCGCCATATTTTTCCCGAACCACATTTTCACCGGTCGTTAATAAACCCGCCTACTCAGCTTTTAGGGTTCCCAAGGGGTATGGGTGCTCATATTTTAATCGTTGTCTTATATTCACTAAAGAAGACTATTGGGACACTTGTTGTAGGTTTTTCGACTTCATTTGGCTAAAATTGCAAAAATTCACCTTTTTGCCCAATTCTTGTCATATATCCTTATTGTCAAATTTGATTCAAATAGGCCAATTTTTAATTTCTTAGGTATTGACTATCTCTACATAATGAAATAGGACTCAAAGTAAAAGTAACAGTTAAATTAAAACTTGAATTAATTAAAACTGATGAAAGGGATGATCCAGATGAAGATAACGAAGATGATTAAAACTTATTGGATTTGGAAGACTAAACAGCTCTCCCTTTATTTTAATATCGATCTGGTTGTTACGCTTCAAATGTTAAAAATTATTTTCCATCTAGTTTGATTAACCACGAGTCATTATTTCTGTCTACTTTCAACAATTATTGATAATTCGACTTGTTTCACACAGTGGCGTAACGTTGCCTGTTGGCGCCCCCCTGCCGAAAAAAGCGCCCCCCTGTTGGCGCCCCCTCCCCTTTTGGTGCCCCTCCCTAAAATTAAACAAATTAGGTGATTTTAAAGAATACGCCGGTAAAATCTCTAAAAAAGTGTGTATCTAGAGCTAAACGCGCAGTTTTGCTAGTACTTTAGTTAAGTTTTCGAAATTGTCCCACATTCAAACGACGATTTGGCGCCCCCTAAGACGGCGCCCCCCTGCACAGCGGGGTCAGCAGGGCCTTTCGTTACGCCACTGGTTTCACAAGTTTTAGCAATGCGAAAATTTCTAAACTTGCTTATCTCTAATAAGGAAATTTACATCTGAGACAAAATTTTTGAATCTAAAATTGAAAGGTTGGACACCGGTAAAATGGCGACCGGTAAAATGTGGTGGGTTTTGAGCAATTTCGCCATATTTTTCCCGAACCATATTTTAACCGGTCGTTAATAAACCCGTCGTAATAATCCCGAGTAAGGTAGTTTATATTTGAACGATCTCTTACTGTAATCAACTTTTGACAAATAGTGGCTACAATTTGGTTAAAATTGTTTGTCAACCCTTTAGTGATGCTAGTTTTAATGGGCCCTAATATCACTGGTTCACATATCGAACTAAAACATACAATAAACATACAAAACGAAGATATGTAACATTTTAGCAACACTTATCAATGCGTATTTATTGACATTTAAATTAAGGCCGCGAATCAAAACTCACAATTTTATGGATACTAAATAAAAATTTCGTTCAAGGTGTTACAGTTGGAAAAGAACCCGTGACGATAAAAGGTGAACAGCAGTTAACCTCTTCTGGCCCTTCTCCGGGATCAGGTTAGAAAATGTCAGCGTTATAATCTACTCGACATAGATACTTATTGTAACAACATGGTCCATAATTATTATCACAGTGCTGGCAAGCACGAGCGTTGTCTTTATTGGGGGTATACTATGTACCCCCTTTACTATTGTACCCCCTTTACTAGTATACCCCCTTTACTATTATAACCCATTTACTATTACACCCCCTTTGGTACACGTCGGAAGCCTCTTTCGTGCCACGAAAAACTCCGATAGGAGTTTTTCAGGCATTAAGACTCAGCGGAAGTCGTTCAGCAGATTTATTTTTAGTTCAAAACATTCTAATTTGATGTCAAAGATGAGAGAAATAAAAAATAGTTATGTGGAGATTTTTAAGAAATTTGCATAAAATACGCGCCGGCACTGTTATACGAAATTCGGTAAAAAACCCGAAATCGCCATATTCAGGTGCCTTAAAAACCACGTTAAAATTGAGTTAGAGATCTGAAACTTTGCAAGGCGTCTAAACATTGACCAAATCGACTGCAAAAAAAGTTTCAAGTTTCAGGAGCATCGGGAAATGGGTTTTCTAGAACCCCTGTTTTACGACAGATTGTCGGGATATATATCTGTCTATCTATATACATATATTTGACCAAACCCCATAATCATGGGTAGAGTGGACCGCTGCCAGTGTCTCTCTTTCCCAAACAAAAGGAAATGATATTAATTTGATTGACCGTTCTCAAATGCAAAATGATACCGAGAATGAAATCGGTCGCTCGCTTTTCCCATTCATTCACGGCTTACGAATTGTAATAAGTTTCGATTGATTACATCAATCAGATGCTGTAAAAATCTCTTTGGCCTTGGGTTGCGTTCGGGTCGATACCTAGTATTTCGGGGTAAGGGTGGTAGTTATTACTTATTGAATTAGCTGAAGTTTATTGAATCTTTATTGCCGAGTACAGCTGCCTTTGGGTAGTTCTTCTTAATCTATTACAATTGTAAATGACTGGGAAAAGCGAGCGACCGATTTCATTCTCGGTATCATTTTGCATTTGAGAACGGTCTTGACCATTGTTAATGATTTGGCCCGGCGCACGCTACTTCGAAGAAATTTAGACGAGTAACATCCGTCAAAGAACGGTCTTGATTCACGATGTCAATCCTTCGCATCTCGCCGATCTGCAGTTGCATAAGGTGTGGTTGCGAGAAGCATTATTGGATGCGCGCGCGCGACCCAGTAGTGCATCGCGCTACAAAGAACGGTCAATCAAATTAATATAATATCATTTCCTTTTGTTTGGGAAAGAGAGACACTGGCAGCGGTCCACTCTACCCATGAATATGATTATGGGTTTTGGTCAAATATCATCTCTTTTTGATTATAATGTCAGGGTACTTTATAAAGTTGAAATATAAACTGATATCTTCATTAATAAGGAGGAAGTTTCAACGATTTCGAAATTTTTCCTTTAAACAAATTTCCTTGTGTTTAGGTAAGCATATCGGTCGATCACTGACTGAATATGCCACTTAATACTCATTCAAGTTGGCATTAAATTCATATATAATGACATTAAACTGTCGTGGCAAAGCAGAATTTGTTGGAAATCACGAATGAGCAAAATTCTCACCTTTCGCACGTGCAAACTTTGAGCGGACGTTGCGTGGGCATCTAATACTGAATCGCCGTAAATTTGTTCATGTAATTGTTTTATATATAGTTTAATAAGCCTGCAAAGTTTCAAAGTATTTCAAGAAGAACTGTAATCATAACGGCACTCTAAAGTCGACAGAAAATGACGGAAACAGCAATTTTCAGTGATTTTAGCAATTTTTCAGAACTGAGCTCCACAACTCATGGCATGGCCCAACACCAGAGAATACTAAATCGCAAAATTGACGTTTTTATAAAATAATTCTTCAAAAAAGCACAAACTTCAATGACGAATATCTTTATGAAGGAGCAAGCTAGAAAAATTTTCCGGTAGATTTTCAGAATTCTTAAACAATTATCTAACTTCAATATGCCCTCAAATTTTGAATAAAATTACTCCTTAATGGTGTAAAATCAGTTTGAAAAGTTGTTATTTTGTCAAAAATCAAGTTTTAATCGCAAAATTGACGTTTTTATAAAATAATTATTCTAAAAAGCACAAACTTCAATGACGAATATCTTTATGAAGGAGCAAGCTAGAAAAACTTTCCGGTAGATTTTCAGAATGCTTAAACAATTATCTAACTTCAATATGCCCTCAAATTTTGAATAAAATTACTCCTTAATGGTGTAAAATCAGTTTGAAAAGTTGTAATTTTGTCAAAAAT